TCACGGTGAATATCAATTTGTAGGTATCACAGTGTGTATCTTGTGTTCATATAAAGTTCATCGAAATAAGGTTCGTCGGAGAGAGGAAAGAGGAGATATGAGAGATTATATTTATAAAATCTCTAAAATACCCTTAATCAATATTTTAAGTTAAAATTATTAATTTCCTAATTTAACCTTTGATTTGTGGTTGAGATTGGATCACACAGTTACCACAAACAAAACCTTTCATTTGCTCCTTCCTTTGTTCTCTGTTGAATTTGGATCAATTCCGCCTAGGGCTGTAAACAAACCGAACGCACAACGAAACGTTCGTGAACCGTTCGGCGGGAAGTTCGTTTATTTAATAAATTACGAAAATGAACAATTTTTTTTGTTCGTTTAGTTAAACGAACAAACATGAACAAGAGTCTCGTTCGTTCATTTATGTTCGTGAACGTTCGTTTATATATTAAATTGTTTTTTTTGTTCAAACGATGATGGTGATTTGTTTTTTTTTTTCAAATGATGATGGTGATTTGTTTTTTTTTTTTTTTGTTCAAATGATGATGGTTGATGAATGACGATTGTTTTGTGTATGTTTAAACTATGGATAATTGGTATGCAATAGTTAATTAAATGACAAATAGTGGTGTTCGTTTGTTTATGTTCGTTTAGCCCGTTCGTTTATATTCGTTTAGCATGTTAACAAACGAACATAAACGAACACGAATATAAAGATTTTCGTTCGTTTACCGTTCGTGTTCTTTCATTTATTCGATTAAATTAACTGAACGGACATAAACACGTATCTGTTCGTGTTCCTTTGGTTCATTTAAAGCTATAAATTTCCAGCCAAGAAATGGGGTTTCCACAACTTAAAAACCCCTAAAAACTGTCCCTGTGAAGCGTATGCCTTAGCCACTGATAATTTGAAAAATATGTCTGCTTGAATGAATATTTGACAAAATATGCTTAGTTTTGCAAATATTTGACAAAATATGCTTAGTTTTGCAAATATTTGAAAGTTTATGCCCACAGTGACTAATGGGCCCAAACATTATCACGAGTCAATTTTTCACCATTTTCGGTCTCTTTCTTTTACCTCCCTATTCACCAATAGATATGAGAACCAACTTATATAGCTTATAAAATACATAAAATCAATGTAAAAAGTATTTTAATTATAAATACGTGTTTAAGAATATGCTTATCAACCGCTAATACAAGGACGTTCCAACCTTTTTGAATGATCTGTTACATCTAAATTTTTTTATTACATTACATAAATGAGATAACAGAAAATATATGTTAAAAATAAAAATAGAGTAAACCTAAAACGATTAACAATCTGAAACCAAACATAAACCAATAATAATTTGAACATAATTAATTTCGGCTATATTTTTACATAGGTCGATAAAAAGACTTTGAACATATGTAGATTTGGGTCATGTTCAAAATTTCACATTTAACATTTTAAGGAACGGTCCTGCGTTAATAATTTATCAAGTTTTTGGAAAAAAAATTATGTAAATATATTTTTTAAAGGTAATAAATATAAAAATGTTATTGAAAATCTATACATTAATAATTGAATAGAAATATATTTACTAATATTTCACTTTTTATATAAAAAATAATATAATTAATTTAAGAATAATTGGTACTCCTGAAATGTGAAATTGCAAAAAAAAAAAAAACACACACACACACGGAGAATACAGAGTTAACGGTGGAACAGCTGTTCATCTACGTGTCGTGGTCGTTCCACTATCACGTGCTATTCCAACACGTGGGCAATACTATTCCATCGTCCACTTACCGTCAACTAACGGCTGTTAAATGTGCCAACCCCTAGGAGTAGTTGACATTTCCTTTGACCTGCATCTTGCTTGTTAATGTATACTTTTTAAATTAAAAGATTAATTAATATTATAATAGGTAAAAAATTGAAAGTATAATGTCTTAATAAAAAATAATTTGAAAGTATATTGTTATAATAAAAAAAAACCGAAATGATAATGCTATAATAAAGAAATTTATGAAAGTAGATTGTTATTTTTGTAGATTTTGCCCTTAAAAAAATTCTAAATTATCTTAAGTTATATAGTTTATTTAATTAAACAAATTAGATGAAACTAATGGGGTGGGGGCACGTTGGATGAGACTTGGGGGAGGCAAGCATATGACCATATGGGACTGAAGGGAAACCATGTAAGATGAGAGTAAAAATAGAAAATTTAAGCTAGTCAACAAACGTTTTTGGTCTTTGACTGTGGGCCTTTCCCCCCGGTCCTTAAGGGCTAGATCCACCCCCTGTTGCCGTGTATGTTAATTGACAAAGAGGTGATACGACTTTTTCCAAATATAAGACATATATCGGGTTCGACCCATTCCCCACAGGTGAGCCTCAGTCGCTGAGTGAGCCAAACAATGTCCCTTCATATTAATACCTTTGAATACTAACTCGGGAGAGAAGAGGAAGTACAACGAAAAGTGCCTGTGGGGTCGATTAAAATTAATGATAATTAACTTTTTCACTGAAAAATCAAAACAAAGGTAACAAAAATATTACATGAATGAATACATTTTATTAATAAAATAATCGGTGTGACGGTCCAAGTTGCGTTGTGGTGTGTAATTCACGCCCAAAAGCAAGAACCAACTTAAACCACTCATGGACCAATGGGCGCCGTCCCACCTACCCCCGATCCAACTCTCTTGTTTTCCACCTACTCACTTTTTATTTCTTTTTTAATTGTGGTATTTTTCATGTTTTTATTATTATTATTATTATTTATCAGATTTATATAAACTATTTTTTAATAAGGGTTCAATAAGTGATTGATTATTTGAGAATTCTAAAATTTATGAAATTAACCATAAGGGTGGGGCCTGATTGGTGTAAGCTTGACTTCAAAGATCAAAAGTATCAGGAGGTTCCAGGTTCAAATTCAATGAGGAATAAAAATTCTTTTATGGCCACGAAGATTCAAATACGGTGACTCCGAGCTATCTGCAAAGCAGGTGGTCGCCCTGAGATTAATCGGCTCGCATAACGGGTTGGATATTTAGGTTAATAAAAAAAAATTATGAAATTTATTTATTTTATTGTTTTGATATGATTAATATTTTTTATTAAATAAATATTAATGTATTTTTTGGTTTACTTGATGTTCATAACTCATAAGTGGTAAGTTTTGTTAGCTTTGTTGATGTTCAGAACCGTACCGGATCTTGCAAATTTAGAGTATGTTCATAGATTATAATAATATTACAAAAAAAATGCTCACAAGGTGTTCAGATATATACATACATACATTTGGGATCATGTGAGATCAAGTTGTTCCCTGAGACTTAATAGACCATTTTTTTATATTTGAAACTTCACAATAAAACACTGTGAAGATAACCTTCATAGTGTTGTTGATGTGAAGAGTCAAATCTTTTATACTTTATAATGTTTTGTTTTGAAGTTTCAAGTATAAAAATGATGTCTTAAGGGTCTCACGAAAACAAGTTAGTCTCACATGAACCCAACTCTATATATATAGAGAGAGAGAGAGAGAGAGAGAAAGAAAGAAAATTTAGGTTCATACATAATCAATAACCAAACACCAAAACAACCGAATCACATGTGATTTTACACTAAAATCACATGTGATTCACACAACTTTGGCTACGACCTAATGTTGCCGGTTAGGTCGTCCGCTCACCTTTACGTTGACTGTGTTCTACAATCGCATGTGATTTGACCATTTACTCATTCTATTACTTTGACCATGTTCTCCTTTGATATTCTCTCTATATACATAAGGAGGTTCAAATAAGAAAGACGATAATGTTGAAAATGTAATTAAAAAAGTGCTAAAAACCCGACAAACTTCATATTTATGAAACAAATAAGTGAAAGTAATTTACATCGTTTAATTACATTATATTTTTTATGTAAAAAGTTAATTATTGGTAACGACAATTAGATTCACATGAACCCACCTTCAAAAGACTCCAATGTAAAGAAATATTCTTTAGTTCACTCAACAGTTAATGAGCTGTTTGACAATTGCTGAATAATTTGGTACAGAATGATTAACAGGCTCTTATGATATAGTGCAAAATAAAATATAATTATTTAATAATTATATATAATAAAATTAGGACTCTTAATCAATGATTAAGGAAGATCCAATAAATTCCGTCACCCCTATACCACATAGGGGTGCTCAAAAACCCGATGAACCCGACCAACCCAACCCGATTTTTTTTAAAAAAAACCCAACCCGAAGTAACCCGATGCATGATCGATACAAAAATTAGCCAACCCGACCTTATTGGGTTGGAATCGGGTCAGGCCCAAAAAAACCCGACCAACTCGACCTTAACTTTAGCTTTGAATTGTAGATGACAATCATGACATGACCAACCTCAACGTCAAGAAMGCGAAAGCATCGGGGTTGGAAACGTCTAAAACTATTGTTGTTGATTGATGTATTATCATTTGGTTTAAACATTTTTATTGTAATATCTAAATATTTGATGAACTTGCATATTATCTTGAATGATCGGTCGTATTTCAAAGAAAAGTTTCTTTATTTTTATGTGATTTTACATTGTTTAAACATAACTCAATCAACCCGAACGGGTTGGGTTGGGTTGAACTTTTGTTTGGGTTAGACTGGGTTGAAAATTTTCAAACCGCTAACATTAGATTGAGTTGTTAAAATTACTCCAAACCAATCAACCCGGGCCGTGATCACCCCTAATACCACATACCGGTTTGCGTAAAGGAGAGTTAAACACCCATTTTGTAAAAGGATGGGAAAAGGAATTTGTTTGATATGCCGTCAAAGTTGGCTAACGCCGTCAGCATTTTGCCGTCTGACCAACTCCGTCTCCACCTAACCCCTTCCGGTTATCACTTCTATAAAACTGCATTTCCCCTCAGCAGAAGCATAACTACAAAATTGGCTGATAACTATCACCACCTACTCGCCGCCATCGGCCACCGAGAAATCACCATGGATCTTCTCCTCTTAGAGAAAACTCTCATTGGCCTCTTTGCAGCCATAATTGGCGCAATCGTCATCTCTAAACTACGTGGCAAGCGTTTTAAGCTCCCTCCAGGACCCATTCCCGTCCCCATTTTCGGGAACTGGCTTCAAGTTGGCGATGATCTCAATCATCGGAACTTAACTGATCTCGCCAAGAAGTTCGGTCAGATCTTCCTCCTCCGCATGGGGCAGCGCAACCTCGTCGTCGTATCATCTCCTGAACTCGCTAAGGAAGTACTCCATACGCAGGGAGTTGAATTCGGATCTCGAACACGAAACGTCGTCTTCGATATATTCACTGGAAAGGGACAGGATATGGTGTTCACTGTCTACGGTGAGCACTGGCGGAAGATGCGACGGATCATGACGGTGCCGTTCTTCACCAACAAAGTTGTTCAGCAGTACAGATACGGGTGGGAGGCGGAGGCGGCTGCGGTCGTGGAGGATGTGAAGAAGAATCCAGCGGCGGCGACGGAAGGTGTCGTGATCCGGAAGCGGTTGCAGTTGATGATGTATAACAACATGTTTAGAATCATGTTCGATAGGCGATTTGAAAGTGAAGATGATCCATTGTTCTTGAAGCTTAAGGCATTGAATGGTGAGAGGAGTCGATTGGCACAGAGCTTCGAGTATAACTATGGTGATTTCATCCCCATTTTGAGGCCATTTTTGAGAGGGTATTTGAAATTGTGCAAGGAAATCAAAGAGAAAAGGTTTCAGCTCTTCAAGGATTACTTCGTTGATGAAAGGAAGTAAGTATATCTTTATCTAACTCTAACTGCTTTCCTAATTGAGCATTTTGACCTTCAATTTTGATATTCGATTCGAACATTGGAAAGCAATTCCCCCCAATAGCATTTTCTTTATCCATGGACCATTTTATTCGAACACTTCTAATCCGAGCTACTATGATCCGATTGAGGGTTCTTCGATTATCAATTGATTTTGGATATTCTTTCATGGCATCTGCGTTGGTAGATCTAGATTGCATTAAGTAATTCGTGTTTTTGTTTTGGGGAAAATACAGGAAGCTTGGAAGCACGAAGAAAATGGACAACAACCAACTTAAATGCGCCATTGATCACATTCTTGAAGCCAAGGAGAAGGGAGAAATCAACGAAGACAATGTCCTTTACATTGTTGAGAACATCAATGTTGCTGGTATGTTCATCTGTGGGACTTCAAAAAAGGGTTTCATTTATATCTGCTTTACTTAGACCATCTTCAATATAGACAACAAATAACAATTTGACACCAAATCACTCTGATATGGACATGAAATCTTACATTAAATTTGGCCTAACACTTTTCATTTACACCACTTGAAAGAAAAAAAGAATACACCTTGAATTTCACTTACCCATTAGAGAAAGATTCATTGTTTACACAAAATTTCACCTATTTTTATGTATTTGGTGTAAGATTTTGGTGATACCCATTGGAGATGACGATTACCGTAAAAAAAAAAGAAAAAAGAAAGAAGTTAATTCAAGAGTGAGAGAAGATGTTCCAACATATATCGAAGAAAAAAAATTCCTAACATATAGTAGAGAAATGATCCGAATCTAGCTGATGTTGGACTCTAATACGTCTCTCCAATGGAGACTAGAGTGACACAATAGTCTCAGATTGTTGAAAGGGGATAGCTAGCACATATTGTTCCAAGTGTTGAGCACTTAGAATGGTAGACTTTGCTTTGATACTATATGCAAATACGTAAAAACCTATTAGATTACCGTCTAAAAATGCTCTTAAACAAAAAGGAGTATTTAAACATTATCGAAGAAATGGCCCAAATCTAGCTTAAGTTAGACTCCATACGCCCCTCCAATAGAGACTAGACCGACAAAGTAGTCTAGGAGTGTGAAAAGGGGCTAGTTAGCACATATTGTTCCAAGAATGATAAGAATATAACTTTAAAGTCATGTAAAAATACGGAAAAGCCTGTTCGATTTCTCTAAAAGACAACAACATTTAAAGTGGCTTTCCAAACTTCTACATGTGACATTATTAAATGTTTAGTCATTAATGCTTTCGATAGTTGTCCCAAGACATGATGCTAGAAGTTAGTGCCATGTTCTAGACATTTCTCTACCCAAATCACTACCCTCAATCTTGGTATTTTGTTTTGACAATTTTATGTTAAAAAGTCAAAGTCGAAATTCTCAGAATTTGATGTATTTTCCGTTTGTGAAACAGCAATCGAGACAACTCTATGGTCGATCGAATGGGGAATTGCAGAGCTCGTGAACCACCCCGAGATCCAATCAAAACTAAGGCACGAGCTCGACACAAAGCTCGGACCTGGAGTCCAGATCACCGAGCCAGACGTTCAAAACCTCCCGTACCTCCAAGCTGTCGTCAAAGAAACCCTCCGTCTCCGAATGGCGATCCCGCTTCTAGTCCCGCACATGAACCTCAACGAGGCTAAGCTTGGTGGCTTCGACATCCCGGCAGAAAGCAAGATCTTGGTGAACGCCTGGTGGCTCGCCAACAACCCCGACCAATGGAAGAAACCCGAGGAGTTTAGGCCCGAGAGGTTCTTGGAAGAGGAAGGGAAGGTTGAGGCTAACGGGAATGATTTCCGGTACTTGCCGTTTGGCGTCGGGCGAAGGAGTTGCCCTGGGATAATCCTGGCGTTGCCGATTCTTGGGATTACGCTCGGGCGTTTGGTGCAGAATTTCGAGCTGTTGCCGCCACCGGGACAATCGAAGATCGATACGAGTGAGAAAGGTGGACAGTTTAGCTTGCATATCTTGAAGCATTCTACTGTGGTTGCTAAACCGCGGTCGTTTTAAGGATTTTGGTTTATGATCTTTTAATGGTGACTAGCAATGGCTATTGTTGTTGTGTGATTTTGGTGGGTTTTTAATGTTATTTGTATATCGTTTTATCTACTTTTGGGTTCGTGAATATGTTTGAAAAAATTATAACAACATAAAATGAAATAAAAGTTAACTTCTTTACATTATCTTTGACAATATCAAAGATGACACAGACTAAGTTGAGCTCACTCGAGTTACGTAAAATGAAATAAAAGTTGATTTTGAATGACCTAAGAAGCTCAACAAAAAAACACTTCGTGAAGAATATGTTCAAAGATCGAAAAAGATTTTTTTTTATTAACCTGAATATCCAACCCGTTATGCGAGCCGACTAATCTCAGAGCGACCACCTGCTTTGCAAATAGTTTGGAGTCACCGCGTTTGAACCTCCGCGGCCACATGAGAATTTTTATTCCTCCTTGGATTTAAACCTGGAACCTCATGGTACTTTTGACATTTGGAGTCAAATTCAAACCAATCAGGCACCACCATTGTGGTTGAAAACGAAAATTGATTTCTAGATGTTTGTAATCATATTTGTTGCAATTTTTGGGAAGGCATTCATTTTGGTTTGTAAGTTGGATTGAGATAACCTCTTCTACCCGGCCACCGAGTGAGCCAAAAATACCCCTTACATTGTTGTCTTTATAGACGAGTTTCGTGTAAAACTGGTTGGAGTTGATGGTAAACACGTAATCATAGCAAGTTTTAGAAACCATGTTTTATGAATATACACTGTTCAAACTTTCTAAATCGACTCGATCAAAATTTTTAAATAAAAGACTAAAGTATGCTTTTTTTTGGTCCCCGTGCTATGTTGAAAATTATGTGTTTTGTGGCATAGTAGTTGAGGTGCTAGGGATGTGGTGAAATATCTCATATGTCTAGGGTTCGATTTCAAGCATACATGACAATATGATCACTGAGTTTATCATGACTGATTTTTTGCCATCATAATTTGTCGGGATTAGTTTAATCATCCCCCGTGACACCCTTCTAAAAAAATATAGCTTTTGTTTATGTGGTTCTCAATTCATTTTTTTTTTGTCCTTATAGTTTACAATTCATTATTGTTTTCATTCCTTATACTTAACGGTAAACCATTGACGAAGTCAATCTCAAATACAAAAGCATAGATCAATTGTAAACCATAAAGACAAAAATCGTAATTTCAAAAACACAAGGACAAAACTTGAAATTTTTAACAAACACCATAAACGAAGATCATAGTTTATTTAAAGGGGTCGGTGCTAAATACTTACCAGATAAGTGCTTAATGATATCACTTGTCTTACTGATTGAGCGTGAAAATAACCAAAAATCTTACCTGGTAATAGACAGAGTCTCAGGTAAATGAGTAAAAAAATACCCTTATCTTATAAAATGCTTACCGATAATTCTTTTTGATAACTTAGAACGATAAAAATTACTGAGAGTAATAACTCCTACCCGTAAGAACTTACTAGAAGCTTCTAATAATTGGCGGTAAATAAAACACCAATATCATTAAAAACAAGGTTATTGGGTATATAAATATTTCATATTATTTTATTTTTAGTTAAAATCGAAGGATTCAAATTTGGCACCAAAGTCCCATCCGCGGGTTCCTCGTTCTCATTCCGTGCCCCTCGAAGCTTAAGACCTAGCTTGATCGAGTAATCTGTTCTTCTTTTAGGTAATTTCTGCATTCTTCACTGGTGATTTCCTTTTAGTTTCATCAAATTAAAAGCGTTTTTTGATTAATACTTCATTCAATGGATCATCGATTGCAGGTTTCAGACATTTACGTTATGCTTTCTGATCGGTTCTGAAATCCTGATATCTTCGTCATTAGGTATGATTGTTATTTTCGTTTAAACCGTTTATAGTTTTTGTGTGCATTAGATATATGAAAATATTATCATCAACGTGTTAAGAAGATCGATTCATCGTGTTATTAGAGGAACTGTTTTTCCTTATTGAATTTGAGTTGATATAGTGTTGATTGCTGAACTAAGTTTACGAACTAATTGGCAATGAACTCTGAAAGTAGATGAACTTTTATACTTTTTAATTCGTGCATGAAATCCGAAGCTCCGTATATGTTAAGTTTTTTGGTTCTTAGGATGAATGAAGAAGTGATAAGACTGTTGGATTTTGATTTGTGATTCGACACGTATTTAGCTGCCAGGTTTATTCAATTCTCAGGATAACCACTTCATGTGTACTCCTCCCATTCCAAGATAGAGGACCAACCAATCCCCTTTCTAATTAATTATAGAAAAAATGATATTATCTTTTGGGACAGTGAGATATGTATATTGGAAGCTCTAGCAACCAACATATTTTACCATTTTAGAGTTGTTTCTCTCGTTTGAACATGATTAACTTGATTCTCAGCTTTCATGTATGCCTTATGCTTTTATTTATCTTGAATTTGTGTTGTTCCAATTTTTTTTTTATTAATATTTACGTCTTCAGATATTATACTGCACAATTGGCAATGTTACAGTGGATGGGAGGATCGAGGCGAAAAGTCACAACTGTAAGTGTTAGCCAACTCATCCCATTTTTTAAATTCTTCAGTTTGTAAACTGGTTCGCAGTTGTAGCTCGTGGTTCACCACTGAGTAATTATATTCCTTGAGGTTTTTTTATTTGATCGTCATTGATCTTTTATGGTGACCAAGTTTCTTAGAGCATCTTATTCTGTCATCCTGAAATTTCAGTCTCTACTGAGCTGTGTTTCATTGTAAGCTATACATGTAGCATGCTGCTTGATCACCAGACTTTTCAGGACTACTGTTATAAAATTTTAGGTGATAAAACATCATTATTTATGATATAGCCACACATATAGACGTTCCTATCTTGTGGCATGCTTAAATATGTTCTGCTTTACACAATTTATCTCAGTTAGTGACTGAACTTGGGTATTACATTCTAGGTGATCAGTAGCCATGTTAGAATCGATAGGTTGTGATTGAGCTTCAAGATGAACGATGAAAGATGGAGCAACTAATTTGGTCTCTCACAAACCATCTTGGGACGTTTTACTACTCTCTTTTCCAAACTCAATTTGGTCTCTCATAAACCATCTTGAGTTTGAGGGGGAGTGTTAAGAGTTTAATTGTACATAGTCTTGGTTGTTGATAGTCCCACTATTGAATTCAATGATACTTCATAGTCTTTGCTTTCATCCTCTCCCCTGCTCTTCTCCGTTCTCCTAAGCGCTTCTTCTTGCAATATCAACATTGTTTCCATTTGTTTGATCACTTTCTGCATGTCGTCCTTTAGTGAGTTTACCTCCGCTTGGACCGTTCCCAAGCTTCCCTCCACCTTGTCCATCCTCAATGTTGCTGATCGAGTCATTATCACGTGAATAGTAATCGTAAACAGTGAATAGTGATCTTGAACAATAATTCGTGGATAGTAACACGATTACTAATCCAGGACATCAACGGTAGGCTCTGATACCAATTTAATAAGAGTCGATAAAAGGTTGCCAAGATTAGAGTATTAAAACCTTACAACTTTCGAGAGGCTGCATTCTCTCCCTATTCAATTGTAGAGAATTGAATTATAATAAATGATCTATATTCCAAACAGGTAAAGAATGAAGGTATTTAAACTAATAAAGTAAAAGACTACTAGAATAAAACGGATCCTAAAGAAAAACAAATAAAACAATTAAAATAAACATAAGATAGTTATCTGTAAACTTGAGGACTTATGACTTATCCAAAACTTGCTTTATCTTTATCTTATTAATCTGCCCTCCTCTCTTTCCTTCTTGAATATGTCTTTATACTTTGAAGTCTATCAGTAAGCTATTCTCTTCATAACTCCTCTCTTATTGTTGTTGAATCGTTGCCTTGATGCTTTGATTGATTCTCTAGATTTTATTTACATCCTCAAAACTTCATACCAATCCATTGATTTCTTGTTTGGTGTGTTGAAATAAATTTCTCAAATACATACATACATCTGTGTTTCATTGCCTTTTTTCTATATCAACCAAACGTGGGCTGTCTTAATACAGAATCCTCTCAGAGCCCAAAATCCTCAACATGCAATTTTGTACGCTAGTTGCATAGGTCATTGTAAGGTCAGCTATCCCAAGTATAACAACTCACACGAGTTCTATGGTCGCAAAGCTAGTAGAAATCACAAACAACCCAACAAAAAATGTAGATAACAACAATGATCTAGATGTTGCAAAGTAACATCGAGGAAGAATACTAACCACAATAAAAATAACAACTAGATATGCAAAATGTAAGTATATAAACATATTCACGACCAAGTAACACGAGCATTTAATGTGGTTCCATTATCGATGTAATAGTTTACATTCACCAAAGAGAGAGAGAGAGAGAGAGCAAAATTATATTACCACCAAAGATGATTACAACGTGCTTGTACAAGATCCTTGGATCCAAGATCAACAAATATTCTTCAAGAACACCATGAACACTCTCAATCTCACATATAATATAAATGGGAAAATCCTAGAGAATAGAAGTGGTGTAAAGTGTTTTGGAAGCAAAAGTAAGGATGGTTACACAAGGAAAATCTTCTTTTGTACAAAGTGTAGCAAAAGCAAAATGTAGGAGTAGGACAAAAGCATGGTTGAGCGCCCATATGTGGTCGGTCAAAACAACATGGGCGACTTTGGGGGGGGGGGGGCAAGCCGCATGAAAAAGGTGTCCAGGCACAATAGTCGCATCAGACTCTAGAGACTTATGCGGGCATGGGCGTTTGGGAAGCCGCGAGAGCTTTTGTCGAACTGCTGCTCAAATAGAGAGTCGCACAACCTGAGACGCGGTGACTCTAGTCGCTCGGCCCCCAAATTTGGTCTTTTGATTTTATTTTGTGCAACATCAAATGTGATATATTATCACAACATAAGTTATGTTCAAACCTAGCCAAGTTGCGTTTAATCCCTCATACATGACATCATATGCGGCTATCGAAGTCGCATTTGATCTTTCCTACGTGACATCCTATGCAAGTCACGCGAGTCACATATCATACTCGCTTCTAACTACGCGACTTGGTAAGTGATCAGGCCAAGTCACTATTCAATTCACATACAACCTTCTGTTGGCAACTTCGTTTTGTTTTTCTCACCATTTATACTTTTGATCTCATCTACTCTCCATCATGTCAAAAGCTACTCCAAGATTTTCCCCCAATTTCCATCATTTTAGAAGGCCCAAATTATGTTAGGTCGACTAGACATATGCCTAGTCATCTAAAGCCTCTAATATACCATGTTAGAATCAATTGGTTGTGATGAAGCTCGAAGATGGAAGATGTAGAAACTGGTGCTTTTGCATAAACCAATTAATGAAACATCAAGGACGGACCCTTAATTTTTTTTCAAACTGTAGCACTATTTGACTATAAGAAATTTGAAATTAAAAGCTAAAAACTAAGAAAATGACACTAACAGGATTCGAACTCAGGTATGAGGTTGAAGAAAAGCCTTGAAAACCAACTCTACCAAGGAAAATTTATGTCCTCATTGTAGTTTCAAAATATATACAGTGACACACAACACATTGATACGGTGACACTTTTCATGACTCTATAATTTTTCACACTACGATGGAGGAACGAAACAGTGGCATTTGCCACCACAAAAACCCCCTGGGGCCGTTTATGGGGTGTTTATTATAGCTCAACCGTGGGATGTTTATTATAGCTAAATTATTGTAGTATCCTTATTATAGATTTTTTTTAGATTTTTTTAGATTTTTTTGGTAAACTCATGTTTCATTTCGATACTGAGAAAGCTATTCTTGCTGCTTCTGAAATCTTTTGGTTATGCTTGAATGAGGAAATTTTCAGTCCAGAAAGTCAACACAGAAGAGGTATGTTGTGTCTTCCATTTGGTTCTATAACAAGCTGAATGTCCTTGGAGACAGATCATGTGAAAACTTTTATCAAGTAATTTATCTTTGACACTAGTTGGTTCTTACCAAAATCTACCAGGCAAAAGCAATATTTTGAGGAAAGAAAACGGCAACAACAGCATAGTTCAAGTGGGCTAGAGAGCTATTCTGATGACAAGGTTCCATGCAGACCATGTCATGAAAATAATAGATCATTGGATGTTCTCAGTCTGCTAAACTTGACAAAAAATGGCCAGGATCTTACTTCTAGATTCCCAGAAGGTAGTTTTATGTTTATGTTAGTGGCTTTGTTGCTACTTTGTGAGTTCGTGTTCTCTTTATTGTTTGCAGAGTAGCCTTTTAAATCTTTATCCTGTTTTGGTGTCATTTTCCACCCAAATGTGCAACGTAATGAAAATTCATGGACAATTTGATGACTTCATCAGCACTAGTGTAGAGCTTGAGCAAAGCTATTGAGGTGGTGTATCTTACAGGTTTGGGAAAAGTGCTTCAAACTCTTGATGCAAATTTTACTTAATATTTTGAGTAATTTGTTTCATAGAAGATGATGAACAAGATGTTGTTGAACGATAAGCAAATTTATATTAATTTATGAACTATGGAAAGTAAAATATCACAATGCAACATAAAACAAAAGGGAGAAGAGATTAACGCCTCTAGAGTGGCAGCAAAAATGGTTCAGGATATATGTTCTGATGTTGGTGGTGGTAATAATTTTATTTCCCTTCAAGAAATCAAAAGGCAATAAATACACCACTATCTGACCACAAAAAATTATGGGAGGATGATTTTTAGGTTTGTGTTATTTGCTACTCCATTTTCTTATGATGAGTCTTATACTGTTTATCACCTTGTTTTAAATGTGTAAGTAAGTGGAAGTTTGAAAGGCGAACATACAACACTGAACTATCAAAGTGCACATGGTCCATATACAATTCAAGTGGAAATCAAAAACCAATGCCCTGCTGAACATGTTGAAATCAGGGAGACAGGTACCTATTTCTGAACTATTCCTGACTCTCACTGCTCCTGATTCTTAGACTGTTCTTCTATTCTTCCTGAATCCTTATTGAGCAATTTGTACCAGGAATTGCGCCCAATCACCTGGAGGAGACGGTATGTCCACAGGAGTAAGTGGATCTTTGCCTGTATGTTCAGCAATTGAGTTTGCCACCCTGATCTAACCCCTTGATCAATTATTATAGACTACACTTATGATGTATTTACTAAATTGTACACGTCAGTTCTTTGTGGGGTTGAACAAATACATGGCTTGCAATATGCTATTATGTGTTCATTGTATGTATAGTTTACCGCTCAATATTCATTAATAGGGTATTTTGTCCTTGTGTAGATCTGATGTCTTGATACTTCACAGGTTTCTATTTGATTTCTCTTCTAGTAGTCATCTTGATGCTTCAAAAAAGAATGATGACAAAGAACCAAAGAAGATGATTACTGACCATGTTGACCACAGTGAGTAGAAGATACTGAAGAAAACATGTCTCTATTTTACCAACTTCCAAGTATTCGTTCTGTTTGAAGTAGTTTGTCATGAACGTCAGAGGTCCACTCATAACATCTACAGCCATCTAAGTGCTTGTAAATAACATGGGATAGGCTAAAAGGGTTTTCTAAGTTTTATTTTGTTGTATTTTTGACGCATAGTGGTTATATAATATTAGAACCCTTTCCTTATTAAAAGCTTTAATTTGAATTTAATAAATTGAGTTCTGCATTTCCTTATTTTTCTTCCAGATTTGTCTGTGGTTGATATGCTTGGCGACGATGGACAAAATAGTATATCTAGAGGAAGTTTGGTACATGAGGATCATGTTGCATTTTCAGTTGAAGGTACACAGGGGATTATGGCTCTGAAAATTTGTGATAGATTCATCTTTGGTTCCTTGAGCGAGACAAAAGTAGAAACTGATTTTTGTAACCACGATGAGATTGTTATGATTTTGGCATTGATGAATCTTTTTTAAATAATCCTCACAATTACAGAAGCTTTCCAGTCAATTAATGTACTCTTCTAATACACAATGGCCATAAATTATTATTGAATTGAAACTTACTTTTACTACGTGTTAGAAATTAGTACGAATTCTTTATGACCATAGCATACTTTTTAAATGTTTCAAGTATAATTTTCAGATGTAGTAGTTCGTTTAGTTTAACAACATGCTCCTATGAATTCGACTAATTATTTGTGAAGCTTGCAATTGTTTTGAAGCTCATACATGCATCTGAAATATGCCCTTCCCCACCAGGTCTAGGAAGAGTGGAAATGGAAACTCCAGTTCATTCACCTCAACAGCCCACAAGGTATCTATTTGATTCAAAAATCTTTTTTGTTTTAAAAGATTTTCAGCCTTTAAATAAAAAACCAACCGGGTGGTAAACATGCATTGCATAATAGTTTTGCTCGTGGTCTTCAGGTTCAGGGTAGTTAGTTCTAACTGTTTCATTGTAGTTCCTTGCCCTTTTACAGATAGATGATATGATACAGCTCTTCAAACTTTCCAATTTCTTATGGACTTTTAATAAATTGGTTCATTGGTGTCTAAATGGAGGTTTGTTTTTCAAACAATGTCTGTCTTGACTAATATGACGATTCATAACTCTAGCATTCTTCAGCAACCAGTGAAGCTGCTTAGGCCTTTTGTGTTGCTATTTCCACATATTCACTTGTGTTACTACCACGGTTCTAAAAGCAGCACGCATCTCCTCCATCACGTTAAGGCCCATAGCTTTTGTGTAAGGCATGGCTCACCCCATGGTGGCTTGAGGCAAGCCATGGCATGCCCTTTTTACAAGGCGTGACTATTTTTAATTTTTTTTGTGTCTTTTACAATTTTACCTACTTATCTCACTCATGGAGTCATGGATTCACACACACGTCGTGGACTCATGGTTAGAATGAAGCCGAAAAACTCTTCCAAGTTCTATTTTGAATAGTTGATCACGGACTCCTCGGGGTTTCATTTATAAACCATCTAATTCTAACGAAATATAAGGAAACAATAGAGATATATATGGACAATTATCATGATTCATTAATTATGATTGAGATATGTATGGAAGATGATAAGGTTCATTCATTTGATCATGCTTTAGATTAGGAAACAAAATGAAATCAGATATTTACGAGTCTAGGTGGACGGATAAGATTGGTTTGTTAGAATTGGATGGTTTGTAAATGAAACATCGCCTATATATATGATTTTTCTTCTTCTGATATGAATTTAAGCTGTTTAATATAATTATTGCATTAAATAATAGTAGATACATATATACAATTATATATATGACATACAAATTTGCCACCCTAGTTCATGCCTTGAAAAATGCCACGTCCTTGCATTTCGCGTAAGGCTTGAGGCTTGACCTTGCCGCCACACCACAACTCATGCCTTCTAGAACCTTGGTTACCACAGGAATGCAATGCATAACTGGTTATCTACCCATGGAATCCATGCTACTGATTTTCAGCTCTTATAGATCACTAGTAGTATAAACATACTAATAGGAATGCGTAAGCAAGCTTTCATTTTTATACTACCATTTTGGCTCAAATGTTGCTTTGTAGCGAGTTTTTTGTTTGTTTGTGTTATTATTATTATTATTATTATTTATCACGGCTATTATTTTCTTGATTCTTTCTTATAAATATCTTGTTTTTAATTCAAATTATTATGAAGTTAGATGAAGTCTTTGAGATTAGATTTGTGATTGATGCTTGAAATGCTTATGCTGATATGCGTTCATATTATCTTAGCTTGGCAGGCCTTTCATTGGTTTGCCGCAACTAGTTTTGATAGAATGTGTAGAAAGTTATGCATAAGTTACATATATTTGCTCGATTTGTTGGGACGCGAATGGCTTTACCAGAAGATAACATCCGCATCTCTAATTACTGCTTCATATTTTTTGTCACAGAAACTTTTCCTGTGGGTTCCCTACACCGTCCAAAATTTCCAAGCGATCTCACTCTTCCAAGAACCTTAATTGCAGTCTGGAGGACCAATTTCCTGAATTGGTGAGAGCTTTTTTTATCATGGCTGATTCCCACCTTGTATTCAGCATATGATTTAGTTTTCTCTTCAGTGTGACGGCCCATAGCCCTACAACTATCCCCCCTGTCCTGATTGCTTATAGCTTATTGCCACTTTATATTCTTATTTGTCAACCGGCTTCTCCCTTTTTTAGTTCCCTTGATTTTGCACTTAAATAACATCTCTTTGCCTAGTGACCAACAAAACTTACACACACACACATATAAACTTGATATGTTCTTACTAATAGCTGGAAAATTCTCTTGTAAATGTTTAGGAGTAGCTGTAAGCTACTGTCTGATTTTGTAGCTGCATATGTTTTCGATATCTTGGACCAGGTAAGAAAGAGGTGTGTCTATAAGGTTGAACAGCTTACCAAATACCATCCTTTTTCTTGCACATAGTGGTTAGTAGTCGAATACTCCTAATTATGTTTCTTAAGGGTCCCTTCTTTAATCAGTGGAACTTAATTGAGAGCCATCTTTTGGTCTGAGAGCCTCTCGTTGAGCATCACATTGACTCGACTTCTACTCCTTTTTTCTCTATTCAGTTATTTTACACGTCAATGCAGTGGGCTCACTGTAATTTCAGTTGTCAATGCAGGATAATATGGACGTTGATGCATGTTCTATAGAGCTCCCTCCTTATTTAGGAGAACTATACAGTAATCTTAAGCCAAAGATAATGGTTGGTGAAGAATCCTGGCTGCATGATGTGAAAGATTTTTTAAGCAATGACGAATTTTATGACATCAGGGTGGAGCAGGACAGATATCAGTGGCATGGTAGATATTTCTTCATTCTTCCTCTACTGCTTTCAGCATTAGGAGTTTTATCTTAACATGTTTCAATATCTTTAGATTAGAGTCCCATACCTTCATATAATCCATCTACCATTGGCAAGCTCTTCTATTCTGGTTCATGGTTTCTCTCGACTATATGGTTCATTCGGTGGAGAGATCAAGCTTCAAGAAATAGTGAATGGTCTTGTCAATACACAAATGTATAACTTCCAAGGAATTTCAGTAGTGCTCATATTCATCACTTTAGGAATTGGGTTCAAGCTTTCCCCAACCCCTTCTCACAATGGACTCCTGATGTATACGAAGGAGTGCGGTAGGTGCCAAACCTCCCTGTTGATGTGAGCTCTTGGGGAAGATCAGCCTGTTATCTCTAGAGTAACTTCTATCCGTTGAGAGCCAGCCCTTCCAAATTTGGGTTTGTCGGGGCCAATGCTATGAGCTTCAGGAATACAACGGGATCAATAGGGAAAAGAGTTTGACCAAGTGCTTGAATATTGTGTTCTCATAGTCATATTAGTTGGCAATTAACATAGATCCATAACGTGGAATTACATGACTCTACTCGAGGTCAGTGATTAATCTGTTCTTCCCTTCTGCCAGTTAAAAAAAGAGCAGAAGGCAAATGTGGGGTCTATGGAAGGGACTGCTTCACACTTTCTGGGCTGGGTTCTACATATTGTTTGTCTAACTCACTCTGCTTGGTTTACATGTGTATATACATATGTGGAAAACTGGTTGCTGATCAAAATAGCTTTATGTGTAGCTGCATTTCATAACTGGTTTCTATTCAATTGTATTATGTGGTGTAGATATGCATAAGGAATAAGCCATTCATTCAATTATATGCTTTTTCAGAAAAATCTAGCTTCTTCGGTGACAAATTTCTTGATGATATTTGTGGATTATCTTGGAAGAACTGGCCATCTGATTTGGGTTCCAGTATGATGAATCATATGAGAAGTAGGAATTGTGATAAGCCAGACTTCTCTTTTGAAGGTCTACATATGCAAAGAAGGAGGTTTAAATTTTAATGCTACTTTTTATCCATCAGCCATTGTTCTTTATTCTAATAAAATTCTTTACTGATGAGTTATATCTGCAGAGGTGGTGCGAGAGAAGCAGGCAGCTTCAACATTTCAGGTGAACTTTTATTATTCCACCGTTCACCCCTTTTAGCATTTCATTTTCACGGTAATGTGTCAGGTCAGGAACATGTACAACAGCCATGAGTGTTGGAAACACCATGATATTAGGGGTAAATTCCAAAAATCTGTCCATGATAATTCGAGTTTATAGATGGATGGTAGTAATAAATTACAATATGTATAGCTGAAAAACATAAATACGGGGCACAAAATTTGTAATGAACATTAAGTCCATTAAAGAAAGTACAAGTATGTTATGCTAAATCTTTTGTACTCCATCTCTTAAAATTTATTTGTTATTACTAAATAAGATTTAGAAAAAGCTTTCAAAGGAAGCCACTTTTTATTAAAAAATTAAATCGTCCCTGGGTTCCAACTTCCTCGTCCCAGGGTTCATCAGCTTCTACACAAACAGCAAATTGTGCCCGGGTTAGCCGTGTATTTGCACATAATCAATGAGGGAGCAAAAAAGAGGTAGCAGGTGTGATTTTACATTTAGGATTTTTGGATCTATGTTTGTAAGTTGTAGATTCCAGGGTTTTTTGTTGGAGCCTTGGAGCTATTAGTTTTTATTGTTTCTGCTTTTGTTTGTAATCTTGTTTTAATTTTTGATTTTGACGGGCAATGCATTTGTTTTGGAAATGGGTGGTGTTTAATATGGCTTCTTTTGTTAATTTTGAGTTTGTTTTTAAGTTCAGAAGACATTCTTTACGCAGCTGTAGTGAAATATTATTCTAGGGGCATGGGGTTGTAAGGGGATTCCCAGTTTACTTGATAGAATAATAAAGGTAAATTTGATGACGGTTTGTTGAGTTTTACATAGCACGAATTTAACCACAACTCGTATCTCTGCACCTACCAAAATGTTCGGTTTTGGACTCAACACAGGAACACCATACAATGAGGATGCAATGTTCCATCTGTTGCTGTCATGATACCTAAATTCTGGGCATGTTCTGTTAGGTCCTTATCAAAAAAGTAAACATTCTACTTTTTTGTCTACATATGTACTATCTTCTTGTTATTCAGAGTTATCTTCTCCATATAAGCACCAAAGGGAGCATGGTTATGATTTATCGCCATCAAGGTTCAAGACAGAAGGAAGACTGTTCAGTTTCGGATTGGACGGGGATGAAGACATCACACGGTATGCCAAATTCTTTGGAGCTCATATGCAATTTGCCGGTAAATGTTTAACAAACATCGATAATGGCAGTTATCCGACTATAGATGGTTACTGTGAGTTTAGTGAAATGGCCCATTGTTCAGCTTGGCCTTCCTTTGCAACAGAAGATGCAAGAGACTGTTTGAGCCTGTCGAGGTTAATATTTAATATATGATATACTTTGCGTGCTTTTCATTTTATCTCATCGGAATGATCTCAAATACATTTTCTACATCACTGTGTTCACTTTATTATTTGGATCAACTGTTGTACAGCGAAGATTCATGCTTGTCCCATACAGGTGACGATTTGAAAAAAATGCATATAAACAATTATCTGAGTATGCTAGAACTTCTCAATAACACAATCATGTTTTTAAACGTAGTATGGCATGAAGGAACCAAGAACCTATCATTTAACTCTACCGAAAAACGGAAAATAAGAGGACATGAAGCTGATTCCAGAATCCCATTAGATAAGTTTAGTACGAAAAAGAAAACAAATACTCAGGAATTTTGCATGAAAAGGCTCAATACCTGGCAACAAGAGAGTGTCATTTGCTCAAGAACGAGGAACAGGATGTCAGGTCTTTCAACTCCAGGAGATGACTGGTTATTTGGAGACCAATGCAATATTGAGAATGTTAAACTAGGTTATGCCAACATGAATGCATCTGAAACCCAAAAGGCCTCCCCCTTTGGTTGCAAACATTGGACTGAAGATCCATTTGAGTCAGGTTTCAACCCAGAACTATATGTTGATGACAAACCATCAGCTTTGAGGTCCGAACATGATGCTGTCAGTGACAATTTTTTCTCAGTCAAAGTTGCATCCCAACAAGTTAATCCTGGTCCCTCCTCCCCTATTCACCCAAACATTAATGTAGAATGTGGACATCAGGAGTCATTTGATGATCTTTTGAAGGAAGAGAAAGATTCCCCTAAGATACAATTGAGTGTTAGCACGAGAGAAAATAAATCAATAATTCTACCATCTATCAGCAGCATGCTTCATCAGCATGAGGAAAATTGTCATCAAAGCAATTACTCATCCTCAACAAATGGCGGACCAACAGATTTCTTAGACTCTGAAGATAATCACAGTCACTTTGAGGAATCAAAAGTTAAAACTCCAGAAATAGCCCCAGGTCCAGATGCCGTACTCTCTCCTGTATGTTCCGAAGGGGGATCATCATCTGTGGAGATGCCCGGAAGCTGGAAGGTTGTGATGCCTTAAAAGAGTAAGTCCTAATGCTTATGCCTCTTTTCTCTTCTTTGATTCCTTGTTTAATTGCTAGTTGGTCCTGAAAATGGTTATATATGGTTTTCCAAATGTTCAATTGGTACACAAACTTTCCTCCTCAACCGGAATGAGCATAAGGTAGACTTCTATATCCAATTTATACCCATCATAGTGTTAGTTGTCTTGTCTTGTATTATGTTCTGACTGTAACTCTCTAGCTTTGCACCGTTTTTATTCTTCTCTTCATGGAAATACAGAAACAGAGGCCTCGGCACATAGAAAAGGTGATCTAAAATGAGAAGGAGCAAACAGCAATGTCGATAGATCTTGGAAAGTGATGAACTGATGATGCTTGGGATATTTGTTCTTCAACTTTTATGAGCATAGATATTGAAAGAAGCATCTGTGCACTGCCTTCGAAGTAGGTATGATACTTTTCATGCACCTGATACCATACAGGAATTCTCTTGAAATAGACTAATAGCATTCATAAATTTCAACACATCCTTGGCTAGTCCCAAATGTTTCTATTACATATGCTAGAAGCTTTTTAATGGTTGACACTCGAGTAATACTACATAAATGCAGCTCCAAATTAGCGTAAATAGTGACTATAGATACACATTATCATCCTGATTAATCATGATCCAATGAGAAAAGTGACTATTAACCTCAAATAATCTTCTCCAGAACAAGTAATACATTCTCATACCAAAGAACCCTTTAGATACACAATTATCATATTGGAGTCGAGTAGGAGGCAAAGGTTGGTTCCTGTAATTGTAACCTTATAAGTTATAACCGTCGTAGGTTTAGTTACTCCCTGATGCCTTGAATTTGTTCCTTCACTTGTTATCAGAAGTTCTTTTCATTGTGTATCTTCCCATGCAAAGCCTTCCCTTCATTGGTTTCGTGAACTGCATATGACATCTTAACTTCTTAACATCAGCCTGTTTGAGAGGTTTTAGGATGAACTCTTGAGCTCCTTCTTCCAAACACCTAATCACCAACAAAATTCAAAAGAGAAGAGTCAACGACATCATAACTAAATGCGTATTCTTGACATTGGATATGTCTCTGATAAAGTTCAACGATGATTACTTCTTGATTCGAGTTGGGACATTCTCAGATGAGACTACAATCACCGGGATCTCTTTTATATCAGATGATTCCTGTTACAAAAGGTTTTACGGTTTCAAATTATGCTTCCAAACAAGAGAATTACTTAACATAGGATATCAGAGATATTACATTACCTTAACCTTTTTAAGGAGATCGTATCCTGTCATTCCCGGCATACAGTAATCCGTAACAACTAAATTTATCTTTGGCCCCTGCTCAATATCCATTTACCAAAAAAAAAAATGTATTTTTCGTTAACATGCTGTCCTTTTAATCTTAAGAATTGTGTCCGTTCAGTATTTGGTCTTCAATATAATAGTATCCTAGAAAGAGCATACAGGAACTTACTTGGTGGTTGATATCGGTGTGTTTGTCTTCTCCTTGACCTAAAAGCTCCAATGCCTTCTTCCCGCTATCTGCTGTAGTTACTGCCACAAAGACAAAAAGGGCTATATATATTTAGTTACCTAGTTGGGCTTGTTCAAGTTGTTGGCATTTGTTTAAGATGGCTCATAGATACTAAAAAGTTCAAATTTTGTACTTGCTACTGTCTGGTGATTCATCAATGGTGATGGTCGATAGATGGAAATTTTGTACTGTTGGCATGATTTCCCACATTTTCTATAGGGAAAACCCTTCCCAATGTTCAACGAATAATGCGGTTGGGGTCAGCTAAACTGGCAAATATATTCTAGGCCTTAGGAATATAGGTCCCCGACTCAAGTCTCCTTAGGGCCACTAGGGATTTTCCTGATTGTTATCTTTAGTGTCCCATGTGATGATTCGATTAGTCGAGTTATGCACAAGCTGTCCCGGACAGGCAGACACCCCCGGTTACCCAAAAAAAAATGATTGAAAGGAATCGTGTTAGAATCCGGCTTCTGTTGTGACCTCAGGGCGAGGACTCAAATGGTTAAGATGGCAGTTGTGGTTAGTAGAAAACCGAAATAACCAGTTATGGTAAGACGTAGTAAAAGTTGGAATCTCCTGCTTGTGTATTGTCCGGTGATTCATCAATGGTGTGTCAATTAATGGCAAAAATTTCACCCCTTGGTTCAAAATTTCCCACTTACTGGTTTACTTTGGATATCCTTGGAATGTGAAAAGCATGGCACCAACTAGATAGCATGGCAATAGCAAATGCACAAGCTGCTTGGCATGCATTTTGCTTGTACAGTACAAGACAACACTGCATCCCAACACATTTTTGGTCATGTTCCTTTTGAAGGGGGTACAATTTTGCTCCTATCAAATGCACTATAGAATATCTACTACCAGGCTGTCATCAGGTTTCCAAGTAGTACTTTTGAGAAAATACTGAAAAATAGAAGCCATCTCAAATGGCCCACCTCATAAAAAAACATTTATTTTACAGTTATCTCATGATTTTTTTCTCACAAAATAGCCAACAAAGAACATCGTGTGGCACTTTTCTTTGTGGTGTCTAACAAAATATGGCGCATCCAGTTGCCCACTGCAAAAACCATTAAAAAAATGGCAAGAAAAAGTGCTTTGCGACGTTAGACTTGCGATTTCTTGACTATTTTGTTAGAAAATTTAGCAAGTCGGCTATAAAGTAAATATTATTCTCCAATGTAATTATTTATGATGACAACCCCCATTGTTCAAAATCAAACAGCACAAAAGGTGAGAGAATCACGGTATCATCTTCAAACGAAAATGATTAATTATGCCAACAAGATCCGTACTTGATATTTCCCTCTCTACTACCCTACCCACTCACTATCCACAAACTAACTAAAGATCTTGTACCTGTTCTATTTCATGCCTTATCTTGCTGCACGCTCCTGACCCACAATTAGGCACGCTTGGCTTTCATTTAACGCCATTCTCATTCTATTTGTTAAAATGTAAATATAACACCAAAGCACACCAAGAACCAACAATTTTAGACCATTTTCAATGATAAAAATCATACCAATTGAACTGTTTTCTTAACAGTTTTGTTGATTTTCGAATTAATTTATTTTTAATGAGATATGATGGATAGACTTTTTGCATCTCATAAGTGTTAATAGCTGCCTGCTTCAAAAAGTTGCACTCCACATAAAATATAATAAATGAAGTAAACTAATGCATTGCCATTTAAATGTTCTCTAGTTAGGTGTTTATTTTATGATTGTGTGATGTAATTGATACATATAAAAATAATTATAAGATATACTTATTGTGTCCCCTAAAGTAATTTATCAATTTCCAAATGTTGGTTACTTTTTCTATATATTAATATCGTTGTGGTGGAAATTAAAAAGACATCATTCAGTTCAATGAACCTTGGATATGTGAATTTTGATTGTGTGTTGTATAGCCACAGGCCCACAGCCAGGGATATAGTTGTATTCGTATCTGTATAGTAAGCCTACATTATTTAGAAGAATGGACAATACAGCATATGTGTGTATGTTAATGTGTACATCTATTTATTGTTTTTTAACAACATTCTAGACTGATTACCATTCGGCCGTATAGACTTAACCCGTATTTGAATTGGTAAATCTTAATTTGATTCAAGCTGAAAGACTAAGAACTAAATTAAACTATATAAAACCTCGGGGGTTACATATCTAAATCCTTTTTTTTTTACCAATCTAAGACTATAAATTGTTGACTTGAATATTAAATTAAGCTATAAATTTGTAGATCAAGTGTTACTCAAGAATACCTTTACTATCCTCTAACAAAATAAGTATATCCTACTTTTTTTGGAATATTTTATTAGAGATGTGGATGTCACAGCATCTCTTATAGAGTAACTCATCAAATTAAGAACTATCATAAAACTCCACAATTGTAATGTCCTGTGTATTATTCCAATATCAACAATAAAGATATAAAAATTATATAAAGAACTAATAAAATGTCACACAAAATTAAGTTAAGTTCTACTTCAAACATGTTGATAATTCTTACATTACAGGAATCTTGTATCAGAGAAGCTGTAAATAGCATGGTAGATGCTGCCTGTAGGGTGTAGGCCAGAATCAGCAGAAAAAACGTGAGAAACATGCAGCATGGTCCTAATAATGAGAAAAGGGAGAGGGGGCCATGAGAGGTACATGTGAAGGTTTGGGGAACGTTTCATGGACAGGGGACTAGCCAAGAAGTTGGGTAGTAGTGCCACCTCCTTCCTTCCACTTTATCGCTTTTTCATACCTTAGAAATCCTCTTTTCAAATTAAGCACACCCTATTACTGACACCCTCCAATCCTTCTCTCATTAAGCTACTGCTTGCTTGCTTGCTCTGCTCTGCTCCATAACAGACTTAACCACTTCACTAGTCTTGGCCTAAACACTTCTTTTAAGTGGCTTACATTTTCATTAGGTTAAGAGTACACCTGCTATGAGAACAAAAAGTTCTACCACTTGACTAGACTTGAATCATTTCTTTTTTACAGAATAATCTAACAAGGTTTCACGTATTCTAGTACCTTAAAATAATCTATGTGGCTGAAGTTTCTGTAAGACAATTTTAGGTTTCGAATCGCTCACTTGGGTATGCCCAGTGAGTAATTGTATATGATGTTTCTTTAGAAAAAATGTCGTTTCCTTATGTAGAAAAATTGTGACCTAAAGCATCTTTAATGTAAGGTTCTTATAAACAAAAAATAAAAACCATCTAAAAAAAACTCCACCTTATGTGAGGGGACCATTGCTTTTTTTTAGGTCCTGATTGGGTAAGATCTCTTTATGCTTCCTATTTTTTCCAGGCTGGGTCTATACCAAAAAGAAATACAACCTTTCCTTCCTCTACTGGTTTTCTTTAAATTTATGACTATATTTTCCAATTATTCATTACTATCTCTAGAAAAATATCCACTCATACAAAATTTTAATATATATCATAAAAATAAACATACTTTAGAAGGTGTGTTAATGAACAGATGGTATTGATTTCTGGGTTTTAAGAAAACAATTATTAACAATTATTAAGTCAGGAAGAAATGGACCAGATGCAATGCAACATATATATATATATATATATATATATATATATATAATGTAGAATATTGAGTCAAGACTTGGATCGGATCCAATTGTGAAGAATATTAAATTGATAAAAAAGAAATAAAGAAATAAAAATGACAGCAAATGACAATGGGAAGAAGAATTAAATAAATACCTTTACATGCAGAGTTGGTGAAAAGCTTTTCCATGATTTTACGATCAACCAAACTATCATCCACAACCAATACATGTGGCCTTTCTTCTTCTTTAACTTCATTCATTGCCACTGCTACTGCTACTGATGATGATGATGAATCCATCTAACAAAACACACACACACACACTCACTCTCACTGTGTGTTTTATGTATCTGTCTCACTGGGAAAACAATAAAAACCAACCCCTGCACTCTGCAGAAAGAAAAGAATAGAAAAGAAAGGAGAAATAGATGGATATGGATAGAATAATATGCCGAAAGAGGGAAGAAGAGACAATTTGTGTGTTGGTGGGAAAAGAAAAAGGAAAAAGAGAAGAAAAGAGTGTGTGTGGAGAGAAATTAGGAAAGAGTTGTGAATTAGGGGTGATGAAATCGGGGAACAGATATTTCGTGATCTTTTTGGGTCATTGGGATACGATTTGCAGACGAATTAAGCAGCTGCATACAGTCAGTCAAGTAAGTAGACACACTCAACCCGCAAGCCTACCTGGCTAGCCAACTTCTCTCAATACCTGCTGCCTGCTATTTTTATTAATTACTACTACTTCAATCACCCTGACTAAACTTCCGTATCTTCAATCCCTTTTATTATATTCACATATATTCTTTTACAAAAGACAATTATATATCTGTCTTTAGGGTTGGGTTCCGGTGATAATAAAGTTATAGTGAGAAGGGTAAGAAGAATCTTCACCTTTGAATCAATCATAATTGAAGAGTTCCACTAGATCAACACCAATGAGAATCACTGAATCAATTTTTTTTAAAACGCAATTCATAGGTTGGTTTAAGATTAAAAGTGAAGGACAATCCAAATTCCTCTTACACTTCTCACTTTAACTCCTATTCTCACACGATCCTTCATATATATATATATATATATATATATATAGGGTTTATTTCAAATACGATTGGGTTGTATTGGTTGCACAAATGACCAGGGTTGTATAATAACCAACATCTCTATATATATATATATATATATATTACTCTATTGATTTAGGCATTTAGCCATGGGCGTGTAGATTAGTTGGCAAGGGACGGAGCGACTTTGCTCAAATACACAACAGGTTCAAGTTCGAATCCTGCAGGAGACGAACTTGAACTCTTCTGCTAGCATCAGTTGTTGAGTCAGCTCAGTCCCTAGGGAATGGGTTTGTGTGGGTCTGATCAGGGTTTTCGATAATCAACTTTTTGGCTCAAATACTCCTTGATTTAGTTGGACACCATGGTTACTCATAGAAAAATGCACTCAAATCCCACAGGGTTTGCTACTTTGCTTAGCATCATGCATGGTGTTTTATGAATCATTAGTTAGATTTCGATCATTTCTCTTTTATATACGTCAGTATTTTAATAATGAGGTTCCTTATATTTTTATATGATATCAGAACAAAGTCTATAACTCTAAGGTATTAATACTTTGTGACAATTTTTTCTCGGTCAAGGAATCTTTTGAAGAGTAATAATACTTTGTGGTCCTACATATTCTGAAAGTTAGAGTTGATATTGGTGATTAGGTGTTAATAGTTTATAGTAAAATAATCTATATTATATTATAAAGCATTTAACAAAAACTCTTAAAAATCACTTTTTATGCATACAGTACTGTTTGTTAATGCATATTACTTAAAACTCAAGATTACAAGTAGATTATGCATAAGTACAACTTATTAAAATTTCATATCTTAATTCATGTAACTAACTGTAGATAAACATAATCAAATACAAGATAAACATCTCATTTTAAATATAAAAAATATAAAATATAATTAGGATAATTATTGAGTTCGAACATAATACTTAATTATTATCTTTATAAAATGTTACATTATTAAACCAAAAATAAAATTTTCATCGCTAAACTTAAATTAAATTATAATAAAAAAAATTAAAGAAACTACATAAAAAATGATATCTATTAACATTGATATATTTTTTTTCAAATTTTTATGATATCTTCAAATTTATATTTTATTCAAAAATAAATCATTATTGTTTTCTTAAAAACACATAAAATCGTATTATAACATCGACAGAGACAAAAAATAAAACAAAACATTAAAATCAAAATGTATCTCGTTACATTACACGAATATTCTTCTAGTAATAATGAATAGATCTAGTACCTCTCTCTAGTTTCTTTTCTTTTGCATTCTATCCGGTCATATCAGAATCATATCACCCTTTTCACTCTTTAGTTTATACCCCAGTCTAACCTTTTATAGATTACATACATATGGTCCTCACAACTTATGCTACTTCAAAAATAAAACAAAAATGGCTTCTCCAATTAAATAACCATATAAATGGTTTATAATTCCATCGTAATTTAATTAAATAACAACAAAATCATACATACAATTAGGTTCGGTTTCAATAATTTTTTCTGTAAAACCTGTAAAACCATTTTTTTACACTTGAAACTTCACAGTTTTTGCTGTTAAGATAACCTTCACAGTGTTTTTGCTGTGAATATTCGGCTTCTTTTTTCTTTCACAACGTTTTGCTGTGAAGTTTCAAGTGTAAAAAAAGGGTCTCACGGAAACAGACTGGTCTCACGTGAACCCTACCCGAAAAGACGACATTCAATTCTAATAATATTAATTATATTAGTAAAATATTCATTACATTTAATAATATGTTATTTATTCTACATTCAGTTTTTTTTATTGCTTATCTATTTATTTGTTGCATTTATATTCAAACAGTTTCTGTATAATGGATTTGTTCTGGTTTCCGACTCCCTTCAACTTGAGACCTTAAGTGTAATCATGTGTCAAGCATGGGCTTTTTTGGTTATTTCAACCTCAGATCTTTTATTGGGTTATTAATTTTAAATATAAATATATACATTAAGAACATAAGGAATTTAAACAAGTTATCAAAATGATGACAACAATCAAACATTCAAATCACATGACACAAACCGATTCAAAACCCTAAAGTCCAAATTAAAAATTCAAAGCAATTATGAAGAACACAAATACATATGGTTAACCTTTGGTCAGCGCAACTAATAAATAAAAGTCAGGTTTTGGAACTTCTTCTTATAGGTTGTCAGTTCGAATCTATTCAAAGTCAATGGAGTTTTTTTTTTTGGTTTAACGTCCAGTAAGATTAGTTGACACATTTACCAAAAAAACCTAGGCCTGGAAATCAAATAGAAAGCCTAGATTTCTCCAATTACTGCAATTCCCAAGTTTTTAAGACAATATTAAGTTATTTGGTTGGTTTTTCATTAAATCTTGTATAGATTGAGAAAGTTTTTGTTCGGTAGGTTTTTTTCATAGATGGAAGGAATGTGTTTTTTAATTGAGAGGGGACATGTTTGGAAGAAAAAAAAAAACTTAGTTTTCATCATAAAGCTCCCCGTCCCCCCCCCCCAAAAAAAACCTTACTGAATAAATCACTTTATGTATCATTAAGCCACTACCTAATAGTCATGTAAAGTTGACCGTATAAGCTTTGAATCCCACTAAACTCGTTAAACTGCTAACAAACATGCGCTAAGATTTGAAATCACAGTGGAAGCATACATAAAGAGGATTAGCTGATTAGGGAAAAGGGAGAGGGCCTATCTAGCCATTTAAAATTATAAAACCTCAAAATGAGATTTTAGTTAAATACATGACATTCTGACAGATTACAGAAATAATAATTTCATATTCATTTAAAGATGATGGTTTTAATTTAAAATCTCATTTAAGCTTATATACCTAAATATATTAATTTGGAGATATATGATTAGGGTAGGTTGATGGCATCAGAAGAAACTATCTGATCTTTTTAAAGTTTAAGAAAAAAATGTACGTTAAATATACCATCTATTTATTATTAAATGCACCTCTATCTGTTAATTTTCTTCTTACACATATTATCTTCCCATCAATATTTTCAAAATAATATATAAGATGTTACAAAATATCTTTTCTATGCAAAAGTCATTTAAAATTCTAAACCCTATTTAAATTTTATTTTAAGAAAGTTATTGTTAAAAAATTTTGAAACAATAAAACGTAGTTTTTTTCAATTTTTATTTTAAGAAAGTTATTGCTAAAAATTTAATTTAGGGACCGTTTAGTCACTACCTGGATAAGAATCGTCATTCTTACTTATCGGGTAAGTTTTTAGTCTTTATTGATAAGATTCTTGGTTCTTACTATATTAATCTGATAAGGTAATGTACGATTCCTTAATATGCATCATAAATGATAATATTTAGTAAAAAAAAATTGTACATAAGATTATAACATATTCTCTCTATTACATTAATTTTTTTTTATCTTTTTGAGCAAATTGAATTAAAAAGTAACGTGCTCTAACTTGACTTCTATTTTGGGTAACGTATTTTTAAAACTTTCATTTTTTTACTAAGATGTAAAGTTTTAAACATTCAAATATCCAGGTAACAGGTTGAAGCATTAACCGGTTACCATACTGATGTGGCGAGTGATGTAGTATCCAACTCAGTATTATTTGCTAACATTGATATCTTAATCTAATCGGTTAATGCTTCAACCAGCTACTCAGGTACTTAAACGTTTAAACTTAACATATTAGGTATCAAAATGAAAGTTTTGAAAGTACGTTACCTAAAATAGATATCAAGTTAAAGTATGTTACTTTTTCATGCAATTTGTTCTATTTTTTATTTTTTTTTATCAAAATAAAGTTTTTGGAAACAAATATAACTAAAATAAAGTACATTACATAAACGAGAAGAGTAAAATGCAAGTTTTATAAATGAAGACCAATCAAAATTTTGATTTTATTATTTCCTTTGCACCGACTAAGGGAATCTTTTGTGTGATTTCATTGCTAAGATAATAAAAAGTCTCCCATTAATATTATATATGTTTAATTATTTACCAATTTTCGGATGACTTTAAATGGCCGTTTATTTAAATGCTTACCCAATAAACGTTTATATTAAGAGTTCAAACTATAATTTATTTTATCGGATAAGATTGTAGTACATCAAAATGGTATCGTACGCAACAATTTACCCGGTAATCACTTATCCGGGTAAAGATCGTCATTTTCACTTACCGAGTAAGAACTCTCCATCTTTATCATTGTTCTTATCGGATAAGATTTTTGACTCTTGTCATGTTTATCAATAAGAAAAATTACCCGATAAGCACTTAACGGATAAGCGTTTTTGTAAACAGCCCCTAATTTTTTATATAACTTCATCTATCTTCTATAATTT